GGCAGAGGAGCAAGGGGAGGAAGAGGTAGAGGTCGTGGAGGCTGTGGTGGAAGCGAAGTGGCAAGCATGAAAGGTGGAGACTACGACAAGGACTCGAGTGAAGATCGATGTAACACACCTCTGCATTTCTGTCCTATCCGCGTCGATAAATACGGCGACAAAATAGCAGCAAGATGCATCAGTGTCTCGCAATAGCCATCACAAATGAATATGGAGCAATTTGACATACAACCTTAACAACAAAATGATTATGCAGTGAAGAGAGCGCACGAAAGCATCAATGCATTTTAATCGAGATTGACACCGACCTCTTTGGGGACAAAATTTCCGTAGAAATTTACCCAAACTGACATGCAATATCAAATTGCGTTATGCATCTAGCATATATATGTTCGAATGCTAGAATGACTAGAATGGGTGAGTTCAAGGGAATATAATCTAGCGGGTTGTACTCTCTAAGGCACAACCCTATATGGTCCACAGCAACATACTACAATATGTTTGACACACCCCCTAGACTGTAAAGGGGCAGTGCCTGACGAGAGAACAAACAGCTCAGGGTGGCACTACTAGTCCAGCCTCTAAGGCAAGGGTCTAAAGACCAGTCAAACGAGTACAGATCAAGACAAGAGCAAGACCAGGGCGGCACTACTAGTCCAGCCACTGGGAGAGGCCACAAGGCCAGTAAGGGTAATATATATATAAAGGTCTGTACACAATCAAGGCCCTAGCAAATGAGAGGCTACAGGAACAAGACCAAGCTGTACACAGTGTAACATATCGCCATGCGAACCGTCCCTCCTAGTCTAACTATCGCGACTAATCTGGACGTTCCTAGTTTTCCCTTTGCGCGCGAAGTTGCGGGAACATATTTGGAATGTTGGGTTGGATTGGATAGGTTTGGGATTGAAGGTTGGGAAGATAGGTTTGGGTGATAGGGTTGGAGTGGTGGTTACCACTCCATCACCAAGTGACAGGTAGGATTTGGGTTGGGCAGCAATTGTTCCTATTGGCTGCAATTCCAACCAATGCACATTTAGCAACCCAAGATAAGTTTGCACACCTCAGCAAACTGATTCCAGCTCACTACAAATTCCTTGGTTGGGAAAACCCAACCCATGCCACATGGGCAAGACCCACAATTGGTGCACCACCCCCTTGGCCATGGAGGAGGTGGTTGCACCCCAAGGGGTCTAGGAAGTGGGAGGGCTCTTGGAGCTCATTCTTCACTTTCCTTCCCCAATAACTCAATATTGGAAGAAGGATCATCCTCCTCTCTAAGTCCTCCAATTGCTATCTCTACCACAAAGGACTTAGCCAAATCTTGGCTATTTCCTTGCCATTTTCAAGTTCTCCTTGAAGTTCAAGCTTACTCCTAGTTCTAATTAGGGGTACTATTTCGTTGTATTCCGCTATTTATAAACCGGTGTTGCTATAAACCGGTGGATGTTATAATTGGTTTCAGAGCTAGTTTAATCTTGTCCTTGTGGGCAATTTTTGTTTTTTCTAGACTTGGTGCTTGTGTAGCTTCTGGTAGCTTGTGCCAGCGTTGCTGGTGACTCTTTAGGACTACTTGACTGAAGTTTCACGGTTGAAGTGTTCAAGCCTTCAAGCATCAAGTGAAGTCTCGTTGAGACTTAACCTTATTCCAGAGGGAATAACGGTTGTGTGGCAGATCTGGAAAGATCTTGCTGTTTCTCACCTTTTGGGTGAAAGAGATAGTTGAAAATCGTTCACAATTTCCAGTTGGGGAATTTGTGATTGATTGGCTTTATCCAAAGTGGTGGTAAAAGCATTTTCAACAGATCTGTTCCTCTTGGGAGATTGACATTTGTCATCTTCAGATCTATTGTAGAAATTTCTTAACTTGTTAAGAATTTATTGGCTTATCACAGTGGTGATTATAGATCTGTTCATCTCCCCTTTGTACGTGGGCATTATTCTCTTTGCTCTTCAGCAATGGCTTCTACCAACAATGCCACTAGTGGTGATGCTGTTAACCTTGATGAGGTGGAGAATGCTGCTGCTGGCATTGATCTTAATGCTGATGAGGTGATGGCTGACCAATCTGCTCCTGTTAAGGAGAGTAATGGTGCTTCTGTTTCTTCTCCTGAAGAGGAGGAAGACTTGGACCTGGGGGGAGAGGAGGAGTTGCTGTCTGAGGAAGTCAAACAGATGCAGGCTCACCTCTCCAACCAGAATATCACCTTGATCCAGCAACAGGTCCTTATTGACCAGCTGAGGAGCAAGCTGTCAACGCAAGACAGCAAGATCCACAACCTGATGGCGGATCTGAACCTGGCACGTCACGATGCTCGGGACAATATCAAGAAGTTGGCTAAGCACTCAGCTGCTATTGCTGAGATGCAGAACCTCATCAAGCAGCTGAGGAGGGGTACCATGTACCACCCTGCACAGGCAGCTGAGGCATCTGCTGGTGCTAGTTCCGAGCAGGAACGCCCTTCGGAGGCGCCTGCGGCTGTTGCTACTAATGGGCAGCCCTCGTCGGCGCTTGGCACGTTCCCTATGACCCTGCCCCAGTTTATCCATGGAAAAATGGATGTGGAAGCATGGCTTACCATGGCGGATGAGTTCTTGTTTGTTCATAACGTGCGTGACGAAGCTCGCGTCGTTGCCGCAACCACTGCTTTGGATGAGACGGCACGCAAATTGGCGTATGGCCGCAAGAGGCAGGCGTTGGCAAATGGCGAGCCTTTTGGCTGAGCTGAATTTGCTGCTGCCCTCAGGCAGGCCTTCCAGGTGCAGCCAATGCTCCTGGAGGTGTGCGGTTGCCTTGAGGCGCTCAGGTGCGGAAACCGCCCCGTGCAGCTGTATGCGAATGAGTTCGAGGAAACCATACTGCTGTTGAAGATGGATGATCAGCTCACTGAGAGTGAGTAGGTCTTCTTGTTCTTTAAGGGCTTGCCGGCGCACATCCAGAGCTTGCACATGATGGATGGCAAGGGCGAGCAGTGGCAGAGCTATGAGGAGTTGAAGAAAGCTGCTGCAAACACGGATGTGCATTTTCGCGCTTACGCAAAGGTTAACCAGCCCCCGGAGGCGTGCAGGCCTCCTCCTGGGCCTGGCGGCTCAGGGGGAAGGCAGCAGGCCCAGAGGTGGAATAATGGCAAGAACAAGAGGCCCTACCCCCAGCAGGGAAATCAGAATGGGCACCACTTCAAGAAGCCCAATGGTGGGGGCCCTAAGGGTCCCGCTGGCAAGGGGGAGGGACCTAAGCGTTGCTTTGGTTGTGGCGAGCCTGGCCACTTCGCAAATGTTTGCCCTCAGAATGAGGCAGGAAAGGGTGCTACCAAGGGGAAGGGTGGTCTCAAGACTAACGAGGCCGGCCCTTCCGGCCAGCGCCAGGGTTTTCAGAAGACCAACTAGGGTGTGGGTACCTAGCTGGTTTGGTAGATCGAGGGGGTGAAACTATTGCCTTGCGTGATGAGGATTTGCTAAAGCTTGAGAAACTTGCTAGCGGCAAGATTTCTTGTGTGTTTGCACCTTCTTTGAGTGAATCTTCTTTGTTTGCCTCTCGATCGCACCCACTAAAGGAAGTAACAACTGAAGCTTTAAGAGATAGCTTCTCAGTTATTTGTTGCAATTTGGAATCACTGCCTTCGATTATGGAAGTTGTGGGTCATTGCACCCAGGAGCACCCTCTAAATGCAGTTGGATTGGTGACTCGTCCTCCAAATGCCAGTAGTTTTCACATGCTTAAAGGATGGACTGTTATTGCCAAATGGCAAAAAGGACACCATGTATGGTGGTCAAACGCCCATGCATACGGACGCAGCAAGCACAAGGTCCGGGCATATTATTTGCCTCCAACAAATGTTGTGGCTTGCCCGATCCGACCCAAGCACCAACAAAATTTGTTGTTTGCCGGTCGCATCAATGGAAAGATTGCCAAGAATCTTGTCGATACTGGGGCAACGGCCTCACTTATTGACGAGAAATGGGTGGACCAGTATGGTGTTCTTATTGAGGGACCATGCTGCCCAATTCGATTGGGCGATGATCGCGTTATCCCAAGGGTGCGGCTGCTCCCTGAGGTTGCTCTTGGTGCAGTCTAGGCAGGAGGGTGCAGGTGAGTCTGTTGGTGGAGGAAGCGCCGACGGGAGGCCAAGAAGAAGTTTCTTGGAAGCGATGTCGGCAAGCGTACGGAAGTTGGGGTGACCCAAGCGATGGTGGTAGAGGATGGTTGGGTTGGCAAATCTGCGACAGGAACACGGAGTGGTGTTGGCAGCTTGCGCTTGGGAGAGGGCGGCGAGAGGTGCAGGTGAACGCAGCGTGTAGAGCTTGCTGCTGTTGAGTGTGAAGCGTGCTAGGAGCTTGTTGGACTTAGGGTCGAGGAGGTCACTGTAATCCGAGTGTGCTGGGAAGATCGTGGTGACGCCTGTCCGTTGGAACTCGTGTTGGGCCACGAGATTGTGGCGTAGTATGGGAACACACATGCCGGTGAAACTGCCCGAAGGGAAAGCTGGGCACGGAACTGTGGAGGAGCCCTTGACGTGTGTTGTGAAACTGGAGTCTGTTCCTAGTAGACAGATTGGTGTCTCGTATGGCTTGAAGGAGTGTTCAACCTTGAGAACTGTGTGAGTGGCCCCACTGTCGAGGGTGAACTCTATTGTGGCTGGGGTGCTTTGTGAGCCGGGACACTGCGAAATCGTTTCATTAATCATGGCTGTGCCAGGGAACAACATGTTACGGCGCACATCAGCAGGGGCAGCCACAGCAGCCTGCACGGATTTGTTGGTTGGAGAAGGCTATGAGCAGAAGATTTTATAGCTCCTTAGAAATTTCTGCACCACTTCGTTATGGCGCCCAGAAAACTCGAGACCTTCGAAAAGCTATATCCGAAGATTGAATTGATGAAACACTGTGAAAATTAGATATATTTTTTTCATGCAGCATCAGCTTTCCAATGGAAGTTCAATCACTTGATAACGTATTCTACTGAGTGAGCTATGACATTTGGCGCATTGGGGGGTAATCTGCCTTAGGAGAAATTGACAGTCCTCAGAGTCACTATCATTGAACGTTACAAGTTTCACGGCATGATGGAAAACATTGAAGCACAGTTTTGGAAAGTGGGGTAGGAAGGGAAGGATTAAAGGGCTCAGCAGCTTTCTCGTTGCCATTCTGGTACGTGCAGGGTAGATGGTCGGATTTACCCATTCTTTCACCTTCATCCAATCCTTTGTTCCCCAACCAGTCTGTTTCCTTCGCTTTGGCAGACTTGGTGCTTTGGAAGCCTCTTGCTGCAGCTGCTCCGGATCCTTGATTTCAGCATCAGCTGCAATATCCTCATTGCTTCCTTCATCGCTACTGCTTGCCGTTGGCGCAGTGACTTCGCTGTCATCAGGTTCGGACAAATCGAAATGCATAGTGATTTCTTCCAGCTGCTGAGTGAACCTTGCCTCGGGCTGCTTCTCCTTCTTGCCGTACATGATGTTCTCCACAAATTTGACATCCCGACTGTCAAACAGCACATTTTTCGAGGGCTCCCAGAGAAGCCACCCCTTGATCTCTGCCGCAAGCCCAAGGTGCACACACCACAGTGCAGATGCTCCAAGCTTTGTCCTGTACGGTTTAGGGACATGCGCCACTGCCATGCATCCAAACACTCTAAGCATGTCCACTAGTGGCTTCTTTCCAAGCTGTTGGTTAGAGAAGGCTATAAGCAGATGATTCAATGGCTCCTTGGAAATTTCTGCAGCACTTCGTTATGACGCCCAGAAAACTTGCGACCTTCGAATAGCTATATCCAAAACTCCAATCGGTGAAACGATCTGAAAATCGGATATGTTGTAGCTGGCAACGTCAGCTTTCCAATGAAAGTTGAATCACTCGATTCCGTAGCTTAACGAGTGAGCTATGGCGTTTGGCGCACTGGGGGGTAATCTGCCCTAGGAGAAGTTGACAGTCCTCAGAGTCACTATGATTGAAGCTTACAAGATCAGAGGCATGATAGAAAGGCATTGAAGCACAGTTGGAAGGTGGGGTAGGAAGGGAAGGATGAAAGGGAAGGACCCTGGAGGCCCATGGTCAAGAACATGACAAGAGTCAAAGTTTTGACTCCCCATCCTCAGGTTCAGCCAGCCTGGCAAGACAAAATTCACACTGTGCCAGGTTGGCCTCCAAACCCCAAATGCTGCAGCTGCAAGGTGGGGACAAAAGTCCCACACATGCTGGTCCCTCCTCGTTATAGGGCTCTCCAACTTTGGTGTAGCAGCTGACAAGGACTTCCAACGAGTTGTAACAAATCCATCAAACATTTCTTCGTAACTTCTTCATATGTGCTCCGATTCCAACAATTCTTGGCTCGTTGGAATGTGCTCGATGTCATGCACAATCCTAGCACATCTGCACAAGCACAAGATGAACATACAAAGACATGCAAACCCAACAAACCATACAAACAACGTAGCACACAAAACACATGCAAACGAAATGATGCGAACAGACGACAGGATGACGTGCAAATGAATATGCACCAACACACTCCCCCTCAGACTGTCGGCTTGTTTCGCCGTCTCTAGTTCAAGGACATTCCCGCCATCCTCGCACAGCGCCAGTGTGGCTCTTCAGCTAGCCGCTTGGTAAGGAAGTCGGCTGGCTGTTGCTGAGTTTTCACGTAGATCGGATCCAGTGTCCCAAGCTTCACCTCCTTCCGCAGCCAATGCCACTTGATCCTCATGTGCTTGTTCAACCCATGAAGAACTACATTGCGTGCCATGGCAATGGCTCCCTTGCTATCACTGAACAGAGGTGTCGCACAAGTCTGTTCATGGCCGATCTCCTTCAAGAGCCTCCTTAGCCAGATGATTTCTTTTGCCGCATGAAACATCGCCATGTACTCAGATTCCACTGAAGATAGTGCCGTCTCAGACTGCTTCTTGGACCTCCAACTTACAGGCCCACCTCCCACCATGCAGATGTATCCACCAACTGATGATGAATCCTCATGCTCAGAAGCCCACGTGGCATCAGCAAAACAGGAAAGGAACACCTTTCCTTCTCCGAGCTGCTCCCCCTTCTCTTGAAGGACTTCAACTCCTTTTTGCCTGAGTTGAGCAGAGGCTGAATACTGTACTCCCACTGTAGGGTATGACTTGAGGTAGCGCACCACTCTCTCCGCTGCACCACACTGCTCTTCTGTTGGATTTTGCACTACTCGAGCCAGCTGTCCCACAGCAAAGCTGATGTCAGGCCGAGTATGCACAGCAGCGTAGAGTAGGCTCCCGGCCATGGATTGGAATTGCCTCTGGTCTTCACTCTCAACTCCTTCTCCTTCAGCTGCCTTTATGAGTTTGAACTCGGAAGGCAAAGGTGTGACCACTTCCCGTTCTTCCTGCAGAGAGTACTTCTCAGCCAAGGTGTTGATGTACTGTCCCTGATGCAGTTTGAGCCAGCCACGTTCAGTATCCCGCTCAATATGCATTCCCAGGTAGTACCTTGCCTCTCCAAGTGACTTGCACTTGAACTGCTCTGTGAGCTTCCGCTGCACCCCATCGATCTCCTTGTCACTGCTGCTGACGAGCAGGATGTCATCCACGTACACCAGCAGAAGCACAAGTGATTCCCCCTCTCCCATCAGGAACAGGCTCTCGTCGCATGCACTCGCACGGAATCCAATCCCTTCCAGTGCACTGGCCAGCCTGTTGTACGAGCATCTCGGGGCCTGGTTCAAGCCATAGATGGCCTTGTTAAGTTTGCAGACACGACCGGTTCCATCCTCATAGCCAGGTGGTTGAACCATGTACACCTCCTCTTCCACAATGCCGTACAGAAAAGCGGTTACGATGTCCATCTGCTTCACCTTCCATTTGCGCACAGCAGCTACCGCCAGCAGCACACGTAGCGTTGGAGACTTAGCAGTTGGGGCAAACACTTCTTTGTAATCTTCCTTCTCTTTCTGCTGAAACCCCTTTGCCACCAGCCTGCTCTTGTAAACTGATGGCTCTCCTTTCTCATCCGTCTTGATTTTTGCCAGCCATTTGCACTGTATTGCCTTCTTCCCATTTGGCAAGTACACCAGGTCCCATGTGTGATTCTCCATCTGGCTGTTGTACTCTGCATCTCTTGAAACGAGCCACTTCCCCCGTTGAGGCCCGGCTAGCGCATGATCCATGCTCGGAGGTTGTATTGGTGCGTAAAAGCAGTATGCAGGCTCCTCGTCATCTGACTCTTGGTCATCACCCAAGAACAGCACTGCATCTTCGCCTTGAGCCTGTTCCTGCTGCTCAGTTGTGGCTCCTCCACTTGTGGAGCTCAACAGCTTTCTCGTTGCCATTCTGGTACGTGCAGGGTAGATGGTTGGATTTACCCATTCTTTCACCTTCACCCAATCCTTTGTCCCCCCACCAATCTGTTTCCTTCGCTTTGGCAGACTTGGTGTTTTGGAAGCCTCTTGCTGCTGCTGCTCCGGATCATTGACTTCAGCATCAGCTGCAATATCCTCATTGCTTCCTTCATCAGTACCGCTTGCCGTTGGCGCAGTGACTTCGCTGTCCGCAGGTTCGGACAGATCGAAGTGCATAGTGATCTCTTCCAGCTGCTGGGTGACCCTTGCCTCCGGCTGCTTCTCCCACTTGCCATACATGATGTTCTCCACAAATTTGACATCCCGACTGTCAAACAGCACATTCTTTGAGGGCTCCCAGAGTAGCCACCCCTTGCTCTCTGCCGCAAGCCCAAGGTGCACACACCAAAGTGCAGATGCTCCAAGCTTTGTCCTGTATGGTTTAGGGACATGCGCCACTGCCATGCATCCGAACACTCGAAGCATGTCCACTGGAGGCTTCTTTCCAAGCCACCTCTCCAGCGGCACCCACATATCATCAGCCACCTTTGTGAGTACGCGGTTCCTTGCCACTGTAGCATGCCTCACCGCATGAGGCCACATGGAGTTCCCCAGCCCTGATTCGATCAGCAGCGCTCGCGCAGTTTCCAGGATGGTCCTATTAGCCCTCTCAGCAACGCCATTTGACTGAGGGGTATAGGACGTCGTTAGCTGATGCTCAAGGCCTTGTTTCTTGAGCCACGCAGTCAGATCTCCTCCTAGAAACTCTCCACCTCGGTCGGTTCTGATGCTCTTGCATGGGTGCCCAGATTGTCGCTCGACGAACGGCAGCCAATCATCTCGTATTGTTGAGGCAGCATGATCCTTCTGCTTCAACGGGTATGCCCACATCAGCCGACTCCAGTCATCAACTATTGTCAGGAAGTACCTTTCCCCCTTACTTCCTCGGACTGGAAAAGGTCCTACCAGGTCCATGTGCACCAGTTCCAGTGCTGCCTTGCTTTTCCCAGCTACGCCGTGAAAGGGGAACCGTGTGAACTTGCTCAGCAGACACGTCTCGCACTTGGTATCATTTGGTTGCCCAGAGAGCTTGAGCCCCTTTACTGCTTCTTCCTTATGCAGTTGCTGCAGCAATGGCATAGCCACATGCCCTAGACGCCTGTGTGCGGCTTCCCAATCAGTCTCCCCCGACCTTGCAGAAACCGTCACTCCTGCAGCACTAACTGCATTACAATCCCCCTGGACTCCAGAACCCGCCTTTACTTCTCCCATCTCCTTCTTTGTTGATTCCCATATCAGTGCAGGGATCTGCTACATGGATCTGAAGACATCTCTGCTTTCGTGTAAATCCCATAACACACGATCTCCTCGCAGCCCCTTGAATGTTTTGGATCCATTGGTGGTGGTGCTGACTCCGGCCTGGCCTAGCTTGCGCAGCGATATCAGATTGGCCTTCAGCCCCGGTACGAGTAACACGTCCTTCAGCACAACCAGTCCACCATCAGGTGCTCTGAATGCAGCTCGACCAACTCCAGCGACCTTCACTGCATGTCCGGATGCTGAGCGCACTTCAGAGATTGGAGGCGCTCGCACAGCATCCAGCAAGTCCTTGCGTGGTGTCATTGTCCATGCAGCACCAGAGTCCATGACCCACATGTCAAGCGGGTGCAATTCCTCTCCAGCCCTTGCAACAGCTGTGCCACTGTCATCATCTTTGTCACACACATGGTAGAACTGTCCAGCATTCCTCTCCTCATTTCCCATTCCTCTGTCATCCTTGGAGGTTTCTTCAGCAGGATCAGCTACCATGTTGGCACCTCCATGTGGTTGCTTTCCTCCATTCCCCTTCTGCGATTGGTTCCAAGGGGTCCACCAGTCGGGCTTGGTAGGGCAGCGAAACCATGGATGCCCTTCTTCCTTGCAATACCAGCACTCTCCCCTCAAGCGTGGTTCACTGTTGTCATTGTTGGAGTGACCAGCTCTTCCTCTTGCACCAGCGCCAGCACGCCCCCGCTGGTTCCAAGTCCCGCGACCACCTTGGCTGTGGTAAGAGCGACCGCGATTGCCACGCCCTCGATCCCTCCATGTCCCTTGCATGGCATAGCCGCTGGTGCTGTCATCACCTCCGCGCAGTGTATAGCGACGAAAATCTTCTTCCAGAATCTTGGTGCGAATCCACTCCAATGTCCATTGACTTTGGTTTTGTGGCAAGCTGAGTCCGCTTATAAATTGCAGCCAAGACTCCGGCAGCAGGCTGAGCATCTTGAGACACTTTGTCTGCTCTGGGTACGTGATGCCTGCAATCGCCAATTTCGCGTAGAGTTCCCTCATCTTGTCCAGTACGGGCTGCACAGGTTCATTCTCGCTCAACCGCAGCATGGACAGCTCCCGATCCAGCATGAGAGAAGCGGCAACCGATGTCGGAGCGTGCAGGTCCTTGAGCACTGCCCATGCCTTGGGCCCACAATCAATTTCCGGTAGCAGATGCATGATGTGATGCCTCTGGTTCAGCTCCAAGCTTTGTGGCAGTAGATAATACCCAGCAGATGAACGTTCATCCCAGTCCGCTTGCTCTGCCATTTCCTTTGGCCTTGGCTCCGTTCCAATCATGAGCTTCAAGAGGCCAATTTGTCGAAAGTAGAGCTGCATCTTCCATGCCCAATCATCATAGCCATCTCCAGTGAACTTCTCAATGGTGAAGTTCTTCAGCACCTCCTTAAGCAGTGACCCCTGGCTTGTACGCGCTCCCCTTTGCGCTGCAATGCCAGAATCTTGGGTTGAGCTGCCTCCTTGGACTGAAGTATCACCTCCACCAGAGTCCTCCTTATCTCCCATCGTATTTTAGGTCCCAAATGCGTGATAATAGGCTCTGATACCACTTGTTGGTTAGAGAAGGCTATAAGCAGATGATTCAATGGCTCCTTGGAAATTTCTGCAGCACTTCGTTATGACGCCCAGAAAACTCGCGACCTTCGAATAGCTATATCCAAAACTCCAATTGGTGAAACGATCTGAAATCAGATATGTTGTAGCTGGCAGCGTCAGCTTTCCACTGAAAGTTGAATCACTCGATTCCGTAGCTTAACGAGTGAGCTATGGCGTTTGGCGCACTGGGGGGTAATCTGCCCTAGGAGAAGTTGACAGTCCTCAGAGTCACTATGATTGAAGCTTACAAGATCAGAGGCATGATAGAAAGGCATTGAAGCACAGTTGGAAGGTGGGGTAGGAAGGGAAGGATGAAAGGGAAGGACCCTGGAGGTCCATGGTCAAGAACATGACAAGAGTCAAAGTTTTGACTCCCCATCCTCAGGTTCAGCCAGCCTGGCAAGACAAAATTCACACTGTGCCAGGTTGGCCTCCAAACCCCAAATGCTGCAGCTGCAAGGTGGGGACAAAATTCCCACACATGCTGGTCCCTCCTCGTTATAGGGCTCTCCAACTTTGGTGTAGCAGCTGACAAGGACTTCCAACGAGTTGTAACAAATCCATCAAACATTTCTTCGTAACTTCTTCATATGTGCTCCGATTCCAACAATTCTTGGCTCGTTGGAATGTGCTCGATGTCATGCACAATCCTAGCACATCTGCACAAGCACAAGATGAACATACAAAGACATGCAAACCCAACAAACCATACAAACAACGTAGCACACAAAACACATGCAAACGAAATGATGCGAACAGACGACAGGATGACGTGCAAATGAATATGCACCAACACAAGCCACCTCTCCAACGGCACCCACATATCATCAGCCACCTTTGTGAGTACGCGGTTCCTTGCCACTGTAGCATGACTTACCGCATGATGCCACATGGAGTTCCCCAGCCCTGATTCGATCAGCAGCGCTCGCGCAGTTTCCAGGATGGTCCTATTAGCCCTCTCGGCAACGCCATTTGACTGAGGGGTATAGGACGTCGTTAGCTGATGCTCAATGCCTTGTTGCTTGAGCCACGCAGTCAGATCTCCTCCTAGAAACTCTCCACCTTGGTCGGTTCTGATGCTCTTGCATGGGTGCCCAGATTGTTGCTCGACGAACGGCAGCCAGTCATCTCGTATTGTTGAGGCAGCATGATCCTTCTGCTTCAAGGGGTATGCCCACATCAGCCGGCTCCAGTCATCAACTATTGTCAGGAAGTACCTTTCCCCCTTACTTCCTCGAACTGGAAAAGGTCCTACCAGGTCCATGTGCACCAGTTCTAGTGCTTTCTTGCTTTTCCCAGCTACACCGTGAAAGGGGAACCGTGTGAACTTGCTCAGCAGACACGTCTCGCAGTTGGTATCATTTGGTTGCCCAGAAAGCTTCAGCTGCTGCACTGCTTCTTCCTTATGCACTTGCTGCAGCAGCGGCATAGCCACATGCCCTAGACGTCTGTGTGCGGTTTCCCAATCAGTCTCCCCCGACCTTGCAGAAACTGTCACTCCTGCAGCACTAACTGCATTGCACTCCCCCTGGACTCCAGATCCCGTCTTTATTGCTCCCATCTCCTTCTTTGTTGATTCCCATATCAGTGCAGGGATGTGCCACATGGATCTGAAGACATCTCTGCTTTCGTATAAATCCCATAACACACGATCTACTCGCAGCCCCTTGAATGTATTGGATCCATTAGTGGTGGTGCTGAATCCAGCCTGGCCTAGCTTGCGCAGCGATATCAGATTGGCCTTCAACCCCGGTATGAGTAACACATCCTTCAGCACAACCAGTCCTCCATCGGGTGCTCTTAACGCAGCTCGACCAACTCCAGCGACCTTCACAGCATGTCCAGATGCTGAACGCACTTCGGAGATTGGAAGCGCTCGGACATTATCCAGAAAGTCCTTGCATGGTGTCCTTGTCCATGCAGCACCAGAGATTATGACCCACATGTCAAGCGGGTGCAGTTCCTCTCCAGTCCTTGCAACTGCTGTGCCACAGTCATTTTAGTCACACACATGGTAGAACTGTCCAGCGTCCCTCTCCTCATGTCCCATTCCTTCGTCATCCTTGGAGGTTTCTTAAGCAGGATCAGCTACCATGTTGGCACCTCCATGTAGTTGCTTTCCTCCATTCCCCTTTTGCGATTGGTTCGAAGGGGTCCACCAGTCGGGCTTGGTAGAGCAGCGAAACCATGGATGCTCTTCTTCCTTGCAATACCAGCACTCTCCCCTCAAGCGTGGTTCACTGTTGTCATTGTTGGAGTGACCAACTCTTCCTCTTACACCAGTGCCATCACGCCCTCGCTGGTTCCAAGTCCCGCAACCACCTTGGTTGTAGTAAGAGCGACCTCGGTTGCCATGCCCTCGATCCCTCCATGTCCCTTGCATGGCATAGCCGCAGGTGCTCTCTCATCACCTCCGCTCAGTTGACAGCGATGAAACTCTTCTTCCAGAATCTTGGTGCGGATCCAGTCCAATGTCCATTGACTTTGGTTTTGAGGCAAGCTGAGTCCGCTTGTGAATTGAAGCCAAGACTCGGGCAGCAGGCTGAGCATCTTGAGAGACTTGGTCTGCTCAGGGTACGTGATGCCTGCGATCGCCCATTTCGCATAGAGTTCCCTCATCTTGTCCAGTACGGGCTGCACAGGTACATTCTCGCTCAACCGCAGCGTGGACAGCTCCCAATCCAGCATGAGAGTAGCGGCAACCGATGTCGGAGTGTGCAGGTACTTGAGCACTGCCCATGCCTTGGGCCCACAATCAGTTTCCGGTAGCAGATGCATGATGTGATGCCTCTGGTTCAGCTCCAAGCTTTGTGACAGTAGGTAGTCCCAGCAGATGAACGTTCATCCCAGTCCGTTTGCTCTACCACGTCCTTGGGCCTTGGCTCCTTTCCCATCATGAGATTCAAGAGGCCAATAAATCGAAAGTAGAGCTGCATCTTCCATGCCCAATCATCATAGCCATCTCCAGAGAACTTCTCAATGGTGATCCCTCCTTAGGCAGTGATCCCTGGCTTGTACGTGCTCCTGCGGACCTCACACTTAGGAGAACATCTCCTTCTCAATTTCAGCACCTCCTTAGGCAGTGATCCCTGGCTTGTACGCGCTCCCCCTTGCGCTGCTATGCCAGAATCT